AAGTCAGCGAGCCTGACCACCCGATCCCATTAGTCGCCTCTCATGACAAGCATGGTTACAGATTGTCAATTCTTAACCGGATCTTCACAGTATTTCTGTAGGGAATACTTTTGAGAGTACTGATTATTTATAACTGAAGCAATGTGATACCTACACCTGTAATATATTTATACACGTAAACAGTCTTCACATAAAAATTTCCGGTTAATGAAGTAATTTGATACCTCAATGATATAATAAATTTTATCAAGAGCATCGATCCACGTAATTGGTATATGATGACATGCATCAACCAAGTCAGCGAGCCTTACCACCCGATCCTGTTAGTTTCCTCTTACGACAAGCATAGTTGCCTTTTGTAACTGAATCTACACACATGTTCATTCCTATTTGAATCAACCGTCAAGGAGACTTATGGGGATAATCCTGACTGATATATTGGGGATGTTATGAAGTAGTCTACCGTAACTTAGAAACAGCTACGTACTCTTCTAGCCTACTGGTCTAAGGTGCTGCAATATGTTGGCTAAAGGCTTACCTCCGAAATTAAGCAGACATGGCGTAATTGAACTGAAATATTGAACAAAACATATTTATAATACTTATTATTGAGTGATGCTGTCATAGCTTTCACAATGAATGAGGGGACTTAGGTGCCGAGATCGTTTATTACTCCTCAATTCGCAGTGCAGAGATGTGTCCCTTAGGCGTGCCTGAAAATATGATCGTGGGTTCGAATCCCAGATTCCCCCCGATTATTATCCCCCGCCCAACAAAGTTGGCCGGGGATATAGAAAAGGGGCTCCGTCCGTCCGTCCCTCATGTTTTGTTTCCGGAGCACAACTCAGAAACCGTTCAATATTTTTTCATGAAACGTTGCAGGTCTGTCAAGTACATGCTGAACTGGTGCCTTTTGCTATTTAGAAATTTTAGAAATTTTTATTTTTTACGTTTCCATGGCAACAATATGGACTTAGGTTCAAAACTCTTTTTTTTTTTTTACAATTTCCATGACAAGTTCCACCTCGGTTAAAAAAGGTTAGGGTTTGTTTAGATTTAATTATGTCATAAATTCTGTAACAGGCGGGGGATATAGCCACGTTAGTGGCAAACTCTTGTTTTTCTTGGTCTGAAAGCACCATATCCTTGCTTGTGGGTTTCGCAGAAATTGCAAACATGTAAGACCTGAATAACTTCTTGTTCAGCCCAAGTGGTACAGTAGGTCTATAGCAACCTGTGCTTGCCATAAAAAGCAACTATGCTTGTCGTAAGAGTCAAATAACAGGATCGGGTGGTCAGACTTGCTGACTTCTTCGCATGTCATCTTATCCCAATTGCGTGGATCGATGCCCGTGATGTTAATCACCGGATTGTCTGATCCAGACTTGATTGTTTACAGACCGCCGTCACACAGCTGGAATATTGCTGAGTGCGGCATAAAACAAACAAACAAACAAACAAACAAACTTCTGGTTTTCCTCCCACTTTCAGCTTACATGCTGTGATCTAACTGAAATTCAAAAGCTGTGTTTTATCGAACGCACTCACTCACTCACTCACCACAAGTGAAGCTATATGTGCTCAGTTTGATGGGAGATTCATGTAACATGAGACAGACGAGAATAAACAAGTGCCTTGAACTGAACGATTTGCATCGCTGCTGATCTCTATCACTGGATTGTCTGGTCCTCACTTGATTTTTTTATAGATCACCGTCGGGGGCACGGATGGCCCAGTCTTCTAAGGTGCCGCGATTCGCTGTGCAGAGTTGCGTCCCTTGGGCATGCAAGAAACCTATGATTGTGGGTTTGAATCCCGATTCGCCCCGATTATGTTTCTAGGTTTGTCAGCACCATAAGTGGTAAACATCTGAGACCTGCATCACTTCGGGCTTTCCTCCCACATTAAGCTGACACGCCGTGATATAACTGGAATACTGTTAAAAGCGGCGTTAAACCCAACTCACTCACTCACTATAGACCACCGTCATATAGCTGGAATATTGTTCAGTATCATGTTATTAAACAAAAAGACCTAGACTTAAACAGTTCCATCTCTTTCCCTTTTTATTTTGACCAATGTTTTGTTTCTTTTTGAAGGACATGGTATGATACTTTGTCCTCCAGGATCTGTAGAGTTTTAGAAAGTGATTGATCTTGATTGATATCTCACAAATTGTGACACAATGTATCATATGTGTTCATATCTGCCTGTCAATGACTATGTAATGTATATGTAATGACAGTACAAAATGGTGACAAGATCATCTTTGATCACAGAAATGCTTGGAGTTGGATTTGAAAAATCTTTTTTGTTCAGTAATTTTAGCCATATTTGTGTACTTAGTGCCACGCATCCAATAGAAGCATTTCAGATTGATGAAAAGCATGTTTTGTCAACAATATTTCCAAGACACTTTACAATTTTACGTTTCCTTCAGGCCTGGAAGGGCCCCTATCATACCGTGTTGTAATTCTCAGTGTCTCAACAGTGAAATGATCTGGCTCAATATTGCCTATTTTGTTACAGCAGTCCCCCTTTTTCTCATCCCCCTTTTTCTCATCCCCCTTCCCATAACACCCCCTCCCCTGCAGTCTTTAATGACCCCCCTTTTCACCCAGTATTTTGATTGGTTGTACTATAGTGAAGCAGCCATTGTACAATCCGACTGATTCGATCACCAACCGTATATGACATCAGACAAAACGTGTATTAATAGAACAAGGAGTATTAAATATAATGTTTCATGTCCGCCTGTGTATCGGAAGGGGAATATCAATAATGTTATTAGCTCAGTGGTTACACAAGGATTGGTACTATTAATAGAGATGACTTAGCATATGAGCTATAATTAGACTGTCTGCAATATGGCCTTCAACACTGTGACCAAGCTGGTGTTGATGTGAGTGTAAAAAAACTTTCTTCAGTTTTATAAGGCCGCCACTTTTTATTTTATGGTTACAGATTTTTTGGTTACCCTTTTTTCAGGTTAAGATAGAAATTAAAAATAACGTAAACATGGTAAAAAATGTTGTGTACAGTTACATTAGTTTTAATTTAATTTTTTGTTAGATTGGTTAGTTAAAAATTAGGAGATAAATTTGTTTTCAGCTTGTGATGTTTACTAGTTTCATTGTAACTTGACAGTATTTACTTACGTTAGAGGAGATTGGGTTCTCTTTATTAGAAGCTTGTAGTGACTATAATATTAATGCATTTGAGCATTTGATCAGATGTTATTTAATTAAGTAAACAGTTACATTATTTAATATTTTAATTAAAAACTTTAATTTCCCTAATCCAAAGATGCAGCGGTCAGACAAATAAATATTATTTTATCTATTTTCATTTTTTAGTCTGATTATAAGTGAATCCATGAACTGAAAACTGGGCCACCACACTGTTATTGTATCAATGTTTTTGTTAAACCAGATCCAATCATAGTGATATTTATCTGACTGTGTGTGCCTGTGACTGGCGCTATTAGCATTCATGGGGGATATTGATTTTACAGGTATTTCATGAAAACGCCCTTGATTGTATCGAAACGTGATTGATAATAATCATCAGAGCCAGTAATAGAGTACCAGTAATTTCTCCATAGTCATGTGTGGATCCAAATTTACTACCCCGGTGCCTGACCCCCTGTTACCCAACCCTCCTGGGTACCCACTGTAGGTCTCAACTGGGGTAGAAAATGTCTGATTGTTTTTCTGAAAAATCTAGTTTTACCGCCTAAACTAGTTAGATACATGTATAAAATGATATTTTTATGCATACACTGAAGAAAACTAACACTGAGTCTATTAAACATTTCTTTATGATAGTTGTCATGTGGGTCTCAGGACCCAACCGACCCAAGTACCCGAGTTACCCGTCCCAGCCCTAATATATATATGTGCAAATAATTTTTTTTCAATAATCCTATTGCTAGTAAAATCTTAATTGTCATTTTTGAAGATTTAGTCAATCGCTTTTTCAGACTTCAAACAACTGGACTTTTCTAACCAGTGAATCATTTTTTTCCAATGAAAAGTAAATGTCTGGTCAATGTGTGATGAAGTAGCTTTATCATCAAGCTACTTTCTGGGGTGTTCAGTACACATTTATGTCAAGTTTGAAGAAAGTATATACCAGTAGTTTTCTGTCGTGTATCTGTCGAAATATATATTTGATATAGAAGTGGAGAATTTTCATTAGTTTTGGATGAAGATCCAAAATTTGAATGAAACACAACAGATCACAGAGATAACGCATGTCTTAACCAGAGTGAGTGAGTGAGTGAGTATGGTTTTACGCCGCTTTTAGCAATATTCCAGCAATATCACGGCGGGGGACACCAGAAATGGGCTTCACACATTGTACCCATGTCGGGATTCGAACCCGGGTCTTCGGCATGACGAGCGAACGCTTTAACCACTAGGCTACCCGACCGCCCCTGTCTTAACCAGAACAAGACAGCCTTCACTGTTAAAATCTGATCTGCATCTGTTCAAATATCATATTCACCTGGGAATATGTAATTATTAACTTTCATAATGACCTTCACATGGTAAAATATAATATTCACCTAGTAAAATATAATTGTCAACTTTTATAATATGACATACACCTGTTACGATATTATCTTCACCTGGTAAAATATAATTGTCACCTTTTATAATATGACTTTCACCTGGTAAAATATAATCTTCACCTGGTAAAATATCATTTTTATCTGTTAAACTCTGATCTGTCTGTTAAAATGTGATCTTTATCTATTTTTATTGCTCCTCCTTTTAAGATATAATCTTCACTTTTTTAAATATGATCTTCTTGATAAAATCTATTCTTCACCTGTTAAAATATTATCTTTATCCCTTAAAATCTGATCTTCAACCAGTCAGCGTATGTTAGCAGTTGGGTAGAACAGACTATAGACTGTCCCTCTCGTCTTGGTAAGACTGTAGGTAGCCTAAGCTTAGCTTTAGTTGGAATTCCCCTCTAGGGCAAGCTGGCCACATGTCTATTTTGAACCCTGATGTAACATCGGACAGGTAGCAAAACTTTCTCGCCGTTAAACTTAGCGATGACTTAGAATTGGAGAAGATTTATTTGCATCTTTGTGTGGTCATTTTGAGATGTGTTTAGTCTTGGGAGGATGATGATGTTTTAGGAGTTGGGATACCTTGCTGAAAGTCCGAGGAAGTTTTCCACATCAGGATTACGTTTGGTACTTATGGATCGGACTTGATCATTCAAGTTTAGTTTCAGGTGGGCACGATTGATTTTGTGGTTGAGCGCTTGTGTCAGCGTAAGACTGTTGTTGAAAGTGAAAATAAGGAAGAAATACTGTGTTGTTGAAAGTTGTACAGCACTGAAACTATTGTTTTTCAAAAAAGGGTAAGTTTCTGTGAAATTCTTTGTTTACTTAGTTTGTTTCTATTGTTTCCTTGTTAATGTTTTTGTTTCTAATTTTACTTTATTGTTTGTTTGTTTCTATTTTTACTTTATTGTTTGTTTGTTTCTATTGTTTCTTCATAGTTTGTTTGTTTGTTTCTATTTTTACTTTATCGTTTGTTTGTTTCTATTGTTTCTTTATAGTTTGTTTGTTTCTATTTTTACTTTATTGTTTGTTTGTTTTTCATTGTTTGTTTGTTTCTATTTTTACTTTACTGTTTATTTGTTTGTTTGTGTTTTTCACTGTCCCTCCCTCACTCACTCACTCACTCACAAGGAATGCATGAATGAATAATGGAATGATTAAATGAGGGATTTGTTCTTACTGATATCTTTTCCTGGCCTTATTTAAAGCAAATCTTAGTTAAAGTTTTTTCAAAGTGTTTTATTTGAACAAACCCGACCGACATTTTACAGCAAGGTGTGACCCACCCGCTATGTTGTTTGTGAGTGGGCATTCACTGTCACTGCCTTCTGTGGCCTTTGGGACAAGGTTAGACTTGCACAAGAAATAATGATTAGTTTTAATCGTAATTCCTAGATTACATAAATAATAAAACAATTTGTCCCTATGAGAGCCTGACGTTTTGGAACTGTCCGCTTACCTAGACATGCCTTGTATAAGGATAGAATTACTATACACCCATGGACTTGTCATTCATAAGAGCCCTGGAGCAAGGCTAGAACCTGGTTGGTCCCAGGGCTCTGTTGGTTGCTGGAATAGGCGATTAATTTAGACAGGTGGTCAGACTGGTTGATAGCATGTCATCGTCCCCTGACAGCGTAAGTTGTTGCTCATGATATCAATCACTGGTTTGTCTATCTCGGACTCCATATTCATAGACCACTTGGACTTGCTGGAAATTTACCTACTGTAGCATCACATAACATTCACTAACTTCTATCGCACATGATGAAATGGAAATGTCTTTTGTTGGGAATCATGTAAATTTTTCCATCAGTGATAAAATAGGACAGTCTCACAAAGGTGAAGAAATTATACGAATATTTGCTCACTTTTGAACTTTATAAAAAATGACAACTACATTGATTATGTTTTTTACGATATGATACAAATTGCGAATCGAATGTTTACGTCAAATCATCAACTTTTTGACTATATATATATTTCTGAGTAGGTTCAAAAAAGAAAGGGCGGTCGGAGAGCCTAGTGGTTAAAGCATTGGCTCATCACGCTGAAAATATGTGAATCCCATTTCTGGTGTCCCCCGCAGTGATTATTGCTGGAATATTGCTAAAAGGGACATAACAATGCTTGCTCACTCACTCACTCACTCACCCACCCACCCACCCACTCACTCACCCACCCACACCCACCCACACACACACACACACACACACTCACTCACTCACTCACTCACTCACTCACTCACTCACTCACTCACTCGACCACCCACCCACCCACTCACTCACCCACCCACCCACATTCATAGCAGCTGGGAGTCCTTAAACAAGTAGTAAGTAATACAGTAGAAAATGTATTTTGTCGTCACTCATGATGCACCAGTGCACTGATGTATCGTTTCACCTCTAATTAATCTATGAACATCTTTAATATTCAACCAATGGACAATCTATGATGTATTTATTTGTTAAAAACAGGAAAATTAGTACACAAAATATTTGTTATGAATTATGATTAATGGTTTGTTGGCTGTAAATAAGCAACTATGGTCATTAACAGTGGTCAAATTAAGCGGGCCTGGGGTCCTCGAGGTTTATTCCCTGTAGTATTTTAATCTGGGGACCACTTGTTTAACTGTTAACACAGGGATGAAATCGTATATCATATCGATTAAATTTTAATGTAGATACTGTATTGATGCAAATTATCAATACTGAATTAATAATATAAATGTCCCTGAAATGTTTAAATTTATTAAGATTGGGAGAAAATTCAATTTAAAAAATGCAATGGATTTTGCGTGAAGTTGATTAATTGCAGGTGTAGACATTTATCTATACACATACAGTATAATTATTTTTGCTGTAGATCAATATGGTGCTTTATCCTTGGACGTTTGAGTGCATATATTGATTCTAAGCTTAATTTACAATCAATGACAGCCTTGACACACGTAACATAAGGGTTATGACTGGGACTCTTTGACTTACATGCTAAACATCAAACACTGTGTTTTTATAGATGACAAAATCCAACCGAGATCAATCAAATGCAGGCATCACATGTATGAGAAAAAAAGTGTTTCAGCAGTCCAAAGTCATCCTCAGTTACACAGTATATTACATCCCTGTTTTATTATGATAAATACCCTGGCCCTATCACAACCAATTTGAGCCTAATTTGAATGACAAGATGCTAAAAATAGTTGTCCAATCAAGTAACTCAAATGAGCAAGAGAAATTTTGTGCTAAGCTACTGATTGGAGAGATGGAGGTAGTGGCATATCATCTGGAATGAAGCTATTAGTAGTGGGACAATACACTGATGCATACAAGTATCGGTCACCAATTAAACAGTATCGATTCTTACCTTAAATCTTTTCTTTTATGAATGTTACACCAAACACTAATTACAAGTGAAAATGAATTGTGAAAACATAAATATTTTCATCCATTCTGCCATACTTGACTCTGCCAACTGAAAATCATTAGTGTGCCAGGTATTTGACCATCTTAAAAAATTGGCTTACACACCACAGATACGAGCACATGCAAGTATCGTGATATGTATTGAATCGTGAGCAAGGTATCCTGATACATATCAGATCGCACAGTTGATGTTTTGTCCCAGCCCTAGAAGCAATGGTGGCGAATGTGTCTGGGGTGTTCATTGTAAGATACTATATACTGCTTTCCACAAACAGCCTTCATATTAAACTCACCTTTGTTTAGAACCCAGTTCATCCTGTTTTCACGTAAAAACATGCAGGGCACATCTTGCTGGCAAAACCATTCTGCCACCAGAATATCTTGTTGCGTTTTCAGATATGTTTTTCCATAATTTTCCCATCAACCGCCTCAGCTGTTCAACTAATTTAACATGTGAAACAACCATAATTGAAAGTCTTTTTTAAATGCTGGGATCTTGATTTCGGATATTATCATGATAAGGGACAGTCAGGTAGCCTAGTGGTTAAAGCGTTCGCTCATCACGCCGAAGACCCGGGTTGTATTCCCGACATGGGTACAATGTGTGAAGCCCATTTCTGGTGTCCCCCGCCGTGATATTGCTGGAATATTGCTAAAAGCAGTGTAAAACCATACTCACCCACTCCCAATTATCGTGATGTTTTATTGAATGTCAGCATTGCTTGAGGCAGCAATCTTGAAAACCATAATATAGCTTTAACATTAGGTCAACTTTATACACACAGATAATGCGATCACACACTACAGATAAGTCTCCTCAGGTCAGCTTGACCCAAGGAGTGAATATGGCTTGGAATGTGAACTTTACTCCCTTTGAATTGTGTTGAACAATTTACCAGGTTTACTGTGAACATATGTGAAAGGCCATGTTTGCTTCCTTGTATGATAGACACTGCTTGACTGATAACTGGTGAGGCTCTGTTTGAGGGGTGTGTGGAGCCGATGAAATAATTAGTTAATGGAGGACTTGCACAGAGCTCCAGACAAAATGTGCATCTCATAAAATACATAAATATAACTCTCCATTGCCTAATTAATTTGTCCTGCTTGCTTATAATTTATCATGAACAAATTTCAAGAACCCAATGCAGGGATCGATTTAAGGAACTTGATTTAACTTCCACCACGTACATGTTGACACTGGTGCATGTTTTATATATACAGCTAAATCTCGCCCTGCTATAGTATGAGAATGCTGTGTATGTTACCTAGTCTAGCCTTTTCAGTTTGCATCCCTCAGTCCTGTATTTCTTACTCATCAATGCTAAAAGCAGCGTTAAACTATACTTACTCTCTCATTTAATGTCGTCTAATCACAGTCCAAGATAAATCAACCATGGCTGTCTGCTCGTTCAGGGAGTGGTACTTGTTGTTACCCTGTCTGGCGCTCGGCATTAAGGGGCTAAAACAAGGACTGGTCGGACTCAGTATATGTATCTGAGTGGGATATTCATGTTAAACTGCAGCATGGTATCTCAGTGAGCTAGAACTATAAATCGGCTTCAGTCAGGACTAGTACTTTTTAGCAGCCACACACACACATGTGCATGCATGTCGCTTTATGAGTGCAATAACTTGGAATGCGACGTTAAACCCAATTTCACCTCACCTGGTTCAGGTAGACAGAGCCCAGTCCAGGTCCAGGTGTGCTCAATACCCTGTGGAGCCTCAATTCATTCATGAATGTACCAGGTACTTTAAGCTAGTGCGTGCATGGTCAGGGTGAAGGAGGGCCCATGCTTCATTAGTAGATAACTCACGACCCACGCTGTGGGAAATTGTGCAAGCTGGAACCATTCCCTGTGAGTTGCTGGAGCATTTAGTACGCTGCCCTATAATACCTACTTGTTAACTGTAAGTAATAGACCAGAGACATGTGTGCAAGCTTCAAGAGGAAGGTGTTAGCATCACCTGGAGTGATTGAGATGCACCAACTTTCATGACTGGAAGTATTGGTGGCGGTACTATTTGCTTGATGGATTGGTCATTGATTACATGTTTTCATCAATCCTGTGGAACTGAATACTGTTTGTTGACGAGCTTGTTGGGTAGTGTTGGTTCATCTGAGTCGAGGATCGTTCATGGTGAGTAGAGAGGAGACGTCTCGGTAGGACAGTGGATTCAGTTACCATGTGGGATTTAACTTGTAGTTGCCTTGAAAGAACAGGGTAGGATTGGGGCCCTTCTGGGCTCCCTTGAAATTTTGAAGTTATGGAAAACTTTTTAATAATGATCTGTAGGTTGTCCGTCATGTTTGTATAGTTGACTACCAGCCTTGTTATCTTTCTTAAACTTGCAAGTTTTGGTCA